GTTTAATTTTCCTCAACTTCAGCTTGAACTTGCATATGAGTAGTTGGTGGTCTGTTCCACAATCAGCTCTGGGCCTAGTTTTCACAGCTGATATTGAGCTTCTCCAGCAGTTCATTCCACAGATGTAATCAATCTGATTCCTATGCATACCATCAGGTGAGATCCATGTTATAACCTGCATTTATGTCTCTTAAAAAATGTGTTTGAAAAAAAAAAGTGTTTTTACATGTGTTTGTTGCAGGTTCTATAGAGACACACCATAGCATAAATTACATTATATGCCTAACAAAAAGAACGCCGGTGGGAAACATATCAGACTATTAATCAAAAGATCACTGCTTGCCTCACCTCATGACCCACCTTGCTAGGGGAATCCAATCCATGCTTTGCCTCAGGGTTCATCTTACAGGAGGAGATAGACACACCCAGTGACCAAGGACTGACAACTTCCAAGCCTCCTGGACATTGTATTACTGCCTTGAGGTATGAACCCCTGTCATCCATGCCATTATATCTGTATGTTTGCTTGTCCTTATAGTTTGGTCCTCGGGGTATCATTTATCTGTCATTTTCTGGTACCAGGGAAGAGGAAGAGTTTTTGCATGCTAATGTTCTTAATAGCTTAGATATGTATATATATTTCTCTAACTTCTGCTCTTTGGGTACTGTGCTTGTCTGTCAGATGCTGCATTAAAATGAAGCTCCCAAATTTAGATAGAGTAGGAAGAAGGATTGACCATCTCCTTCTGAAATAATGCGCTTTGGAAAATCATATGAACAGTAACGCACACTTGGATTCTTAGACATAGCACTGGGTGGAGGTGGAACCCCCATATTGGAAGACATAAAAAAATGAGGAGAAATAGTTGCAAATGTCACTAATAACTGAAACACGAAATGTACAAAGTATGAATACAGGAAAATTAGACATTGTTTAAAAAAAGAAATGCATAAAGTTGACATGCTAGACATTAGCAATCTAAGATGGATTAACAATGAACACTTTAAATCAGACAAGCATATGAATTACTGTTTGGAATGAAAAAAAAATGAAGAAAAACTGGCTTATGTGCATAGCCAGAGACCATTTATAGATCTAGATCTATCTAGATCAACCTTGAAGTACTATTGTGAATGACAAGATACTCTCCACATGCAAACAAGGAAGACTCGTTAA